CGCCCGCGCGCCCCGGCGCCCGCGGAGGCGGCGGCGCCCGGACCCTGCTCCCGCCGGGTTCCCAGCTTCCCCTAGGCCTGAGAGACCCCCCGAATCCTGGGGTGGGCTGGGGCGCAGCAGCACCCCTAGCCCCAGCCCGGGCGAGGGGGTGCAGCCTCGGGAACGCCCTCCCGGAAAGAAGCGCTTCCCGGTGCCTTCAAGGTAGTTGGGTTCCGGATTGTGGACCCCCTCAGTGATCCCTCGTAAGTCCCAATTTCCAGAATTTGGGAGACCTCTCATTCTCTCTGAATTGGAAGGGGATCGTCCCAGGTCCCCTAAACCCTCTCATGTTCTCAACTGGTGAGATTTCCTCCACTCCCTCCCAGCCCAGGTGTGAAGCGGCCCTCGGAACCCCTAATTTTTCCTCTGACCCTAATTAAGGGGTTTTCCCTCAATGGCTCTCAGTTCACTCCTAATGTCCTAGGATCCCCATTTTGGGGTGCCTTCTCAATGCCTCGCATCGCAAAGTGGGGGACTCTACAGCAGCACCCCCTTGAGGTGGCCAGATGTTTCCCTCATTGCGCCTTAACCCTTGCTGCCCGAGTGTGAAGGCTCCCCTCAGCCCCCCAAATCCCTTTGACCCTCAGCTGTGGACATCTCCCTGTGGTCTGCCGATTTCGGCCAGGGGGTTCCCGTTTGCCTCCATTCTTTCTTCCTGTGTAAAGGGTCTCCCCTGCTTCTTTTACTCCCTGACTAGGTTGAGGGGAGCAAAGTCAAAGTCCAAGCCTCACAGAATGTCGGAACCAGCAAGTCAGCGGAGGACCTCGCTCTCGGAAAGACCCCGGGTTTGCAGAGAGTCCCAAGCCCCAGCCCGTCTGCCTTCCCTCTGTGCCTGGGGTTACTTCCCCTCTCTCCCAGCCTGAGTTGGAGACCACTCCCCACCAAAGAGCAAACGTCTCTCTTCCCATATTCCACCCAAATACTCACCCTCTGTGAGAGTCTCTGAGACGCCCCCTTCCAAGACTTTTCACCTATGGCTGCAGGGAGCCACTTAACCCACTCAGAAAACTCCCTCTCTCCAGCCCTAAAATCCAATTCTGATTACTCCGGAGCCAGGGACCACTCTCCAAGACTAAGGACCCCTCCCAACAGCTCTGGTTGAAAATAGCCTAGAAAAGTTCAAAACCTAGTGAAGGGAGCCCAGCACCCCACCCCACCCCACGTAGCCCCAACCCTGCAGGCAGCCTCCGGGTCACGCAAGCCCCGCCCCCGTGGCCCTCCCTCCCTCCTTTAAATTCACCTCGAGTAACCCTGTGACAGCCCCTGATGACAAGCTTCTTGCTGCTCACCTTGATATTTGCCCTTCTTTCCCCACCGTTTATTAACCTGAACAGCAGCTCTGGGCCACACAACCCTGACCCCTGGAATCATGCCCATCCCCCCTTCCCCACCGCGCAGCTCCCTTCCCCCACCCCCACACGGAAGAGAACCCGAGAGACAAGGTTAATGGTTTCCTTGGGGACCTTCTGGGAACGCTCAGCAGGTAGATCCTGCCACCCTGTGAGCATAACACTCGAAGCAAACTTCCTTTTCCCTACTCTTTCATCCTCCTACACTACCCCACAGTTTCCCAGCATCCCTTGAAGCCAGGGGGTGGAGGGCACCCCTCCTCAGCCAAGGCATCTCCCACTGTTTCAACACAAACACAAACGTCAGGTGTGTCTTGAGAGAGACACAGGTGTGGAACAGCTCCAAAGTTAGGGAACTGAGTATTCCTAAGGCTTCTTCCGGTTCCTTGGCGGTGGTGGTGGTGGGGGGGGGGAGAAATGGAGAGGTGCAAGGGGATCCCCAAATGTGCAGCAGTAGTGCCTCAAGTGACGGAGCTCTTTGGCAGGTGATTTGGAGGACAGGAAATGAGTGAAGGTCACTTGTTCAGAGTCAGCCAAGCCTGTGAGTAGTATCTCTTGAGACGTGATCCCTTTGCACGTTTCTCATTCAGAACCGCAGAAGGGGAAGTGTCTATTTCTAGTCAATACCTGGTTTGTAGTACACGTTCTCGGCAGGTGTGTGAGGTAGGCTCAGCTCAGCCTTGCAGCTTCACTCCACTTTGTGCACAGGCAGGACAACAAGTCCTTCTACGGGAAGCCCTCACAGAACAATGCAGCTATAAATGCATGATCCTCACAGTAAATTGAGGATCTCAGAGGTATTAAGGGAAAATGAGCTTTAGAGGAACTGGCCCAGACTCCAGAATTAGGAGATTAGAGGATGCCGTTCCAAGCTCTATCTCTCTAGCGCTACACACAGTATCACTCAGCAATGAGAGAATCATTTGCTTTATAGTTTTGTTGCTGTTTTTTGAAAAGCAATCCTTTTTGCAAAAGAGCCTTGGGCAAAGGACATTATGCCCAGGCACTAAGCTGTAACTGGGTACATTCATTCAACCCACAAATATTTATTGAGCGCTTTCTGTGTGCCAGGTGTTGGGGATACAGTGTAGAACCACCAAAAGGTCAACAATTAATGGTAGAGCAAAGATGAGAACATAAGGGAGCAGGGAAATTAGAGTACTAGAAATGGAACAAGAGCACAGTTAAAGAGTAAGAACCGTTATGCTGAGTGAAGTATCTCAGTCACAAAAGGACAAATATGGCATGGTGATACTGTTGTAAAACAGGGCTGACATCGGGGTTGGGGGGAGACTGAGGGAGATGGTTACATACTATATACTGCATTGAAACAGGAGGGAGAAAACTGTTTAAAAGGGGTATGTGATTAGGTATTTTGTCATGACGGGAATCCACAGCGAAGGCTGCAGAGTGGAGTGGAGGCGGGGGAGTGATTGCAAAACAATGAAAGAATTTTTCTTTTACTTTTCCAAGAGGGTAGTGTATGGGGTGGGGGGGTTGAGAGGGGAGAGAAGTGCAACAATGTATGAATGGAAATCTAAAGTCTCTAAATTTTTATTGAAATTAATAATAAAAAATAAAAGAGCACTGGTGGCATAGTGCATCCTATATCAGGCAGCTAACTAAAAGGTTAACAGTTTGAATCCAACAGCTGCTCTCTGGGAGAAAGAGGAGCTTAAAATCATAAACAAGCAAACACACACTCTCTTAATTCAGTTAAAGAGAATGCTAACCCATTGAGGAAAATGTAACTAATGTCACTGAGCAATCTGTATAGAAACTGTCAAATGAGAACCTAGTTTGCTGTGTAAATTTTCACTAAAAGCACATTAAGATTTTATTGAAAAGGAAATGTGATATCAAGGACAGACCTAGCATTCAATGCAATAGGATTGAGCATTGATAAATAAGCCTTCACATTTACGGTCAATTGATTTGATGATTAAATGTGGGTGCCATCAAAGATCATTCAATGGAGAAATAATTGACAGACACACACCAACCTGTGAAGTGTACTCTCTCCAGAGACAGGAATCGGCAAAGTTACACAAACACACACTCTTGGTTTGTGCAGATGGTTACGTGCTTGCCTGCCAGCTGAACGATTGCAAATTTGAACTCACCTAGAGATGCCTTAGGGAGCTCTGGTGGCTTCGTGATAAGGAACTGCAGTGCCAATGCAAAGGTACGTGGTTTGAATACACCAGGTGCTCTGAGAGAGAAAGAAGAGCATTCTCCTCCTGTGTGATTTACTGCCTCTGAAAATCCACTGAAGGGTCAACTATAGGTTGGTTCTGACTTAATAGTTCTCAACAAAAACTACAGAGATGTCTAAGAAGACAGTCTTGGAGCCAGTTCTCTAAAGGCCACAACCTTGGAAAAAAACCTTGGAATAATAGCTCTACTCTACAGACGCGGGGTCTATGTGAGTCAATTTCAACTCAGAGTCACCTGTGGAAAGATCAGAACTCTCCAATAAGATTTTCTAAACTGTCATTTCTATGTGAACGGATCACCAGGTCTTTCCCCTGTGGCGCCACTGGATGGGTTTGATCTGCTAACCTTTTGGTTAACCACTGTGCCAACAGCTCCTAATAATAACATACACACATATAACATGCTAACCAGATATTAGTAAGTGCTGTGGACATGGGAGAATTGGGAGTCTGGGAGGTATGGGAGAGAGGATGAGATGTAATTTGAAATCAGGAGAGTTCTCATAAGAGGGTGATGTTTTAGCATGATCTGAAGGACACACGGCATATTAATCTACTGTATTATCCAGAACTCTTGTTGAAGCAGAATGTCTGTCTATATTAAGAGCCATGATAAATTATATTCATAATTTCAACTTTCCGTGCTTTGAAAGATCATTGCCCAAACTTTCATATGCATAAAAATCATTCCGGTGATTTTCAGTGGATTAGGGTGAGCGAAGGCTCTAAAAATGCATTTTTAAAGCAAGAACTTCTATCAGATGATGCCAATAGCTGGTGTTTCTTGCCTCAATCTTGACAAAACAATGCTCTACAGTACCCTGAAGCATCTTCTAGAACAACAACAGCACAAACAATAGATTTAAGTTACATTTCTTGTAGTTTTAGAATGAAGAGTGTTTCATTGTGTTCTCATTCTTTGAAAAT